GTAAGTAACAAAACAATCAGAAATTTTATATAATTATCAGAAGTATTAATTAAAAATGTGAGCAATGGATTTCTACAGAGATGCACTTAATTATTATTCTTATAGAGGAAATTTTACATTATTGCAAGCGGTGGTCGTAGAATGACAGATATTTGAAGCCTATAAATCATAAAATATTGCTTTCTTTTATTTTTATAAATAAAACTCTACCTTTGCATTTAAGAAATTTTTAACACTCTTCTCTTCTTACAAGCATGTTCAAGGGAAATATTGTAGTTCATATACATTTCATGTATTCTATGGTCCCTGTTTTAAAAGTTATTCCAAATCTCGCGAAAAAAAATTTTCTCTGAAAATTCATAATCCCGTAAAAATGTGATCCCTTTCTCCCTCTCCTGGGCATCCATATCTCATCAGTATGAATATGTAATGGATGAATAATTACCTATAGCCCTGATACTTGTAGTCCTTTAATGTGGTTGATTGTTTTATTATTCAGTGAATAAATTGTTATTCAGTAAAATAAATAACTTTAGTGGTCATCTTTACACTAGAAGTTTCTAGAAAAATATATAACTGGTTATATTTTTTAGAATTTTTATCAGAAGGGGCAAGATTAATTTTTCCCCTTCCACCAAATTAACATAAATTTATATCTGTGTACTAGAAAATACTAATATTTAATATGGCCATACACCTTAGGCCTCCTTCAGCAGAGACACTCGTTTAGATAGATCTTCTCTTGTGAACTATTAATGGCTCATTCTATTCGTGAGTTCTTTTTGCTCCATCCAGAGAGGGGACAAACGAGTGCACGACTCAGAGAACAGAGGACAGTACAATTAATTAGATAGAGACAGAGCTATTAGCACCTAGCAACCGTAATGGCTACATGCAACGCTCTAATATTTACATGCAATAAACCACCGCCTAATGACATAATTACCGCTATCGTCGTCTGCTCTATCTCTACGATATACTCGAGTAGAATTAATAAATATAAACCCTTCACTATCTGCATCTACCGTGTCCTTTAACCATCAACATCTGAATGCACACCTAGGTAGTGCAAACATATGTTCTTTACAATGTAATGGATCGAGGGGTTTTATAGTCCATTTAGAATTCCTCATTTCCAAAACCGTTAAACTTTTACATTCAGTGATTTCGATGGAATAAATCATTATAAACTTTACTGCAGTTGTTCCGTACTATTAAAATTCTTTAATTTTTTTATGCCAAATGATCTATCAATCAAGTTAACGCCTTCAAAATGTTACGCCACAATTGAAAAAAATAATTTCCATTCAAGATGAAATTAAGAAGTCATAATAAAATTCTATTTTATTATCTCTCTCTCTCAAGGACGATGGATTTCGATGAATGCGCTATCAAACGAAAGGGTATTTAATGGAAAAGTGGCGAATCAATGTAACAACCACCCGTGATTTCAGAAAAAAAAAGTTAAGAATGAAAAAAGAAATTTTATTTGCGAATAACTTAAAGACTATACATTTTTTTCTGATTAGATCTATAAATATTTGAAAATTTCCTACAAAATAAAAAAAAAAAAAAACTTTAAAATCGGACCAATAAAAACATAGCTTCAGTTCATTAGATTTGGTACACTATTCTACTACCCTCTTTTTCCTGACTGAGAAGTACTTTATTGTTTCTTAAGAGTTTTTTTTTTGTTGGTATATATTATATTTCTTTAATAATTCAGAAACCTTATTTTGAATACTAACTTTCCGACCAGTGTTTATAGAACCTAGAAACTTCCCTAGAAAAAGTTTAAAATCAAATTTCGTGGATAGAATCTCTATTTGCTGATAATTGCAAAAGTGTATTTTTTTGTGTTTTTTTTTTTATTTGAATTAAAATTACTTTATGAATGAAGGTGAACATCTTTCTTACGTTGAATTGACCGTTGGAAAGTAGATAACACCTTTGAGTCATTTATTTATTATACCTAAGAAGTTAAAATTAAAAAAAAAAAAAATAATAATAAAAGCATATTATATTTTTTATAATGAGCGAAAGATAGTCAGGAAATCTATTTTTTTTTTTTTCTTTCTCGTTCAGTTATAATGACTTATTACTGTGAAATGTCAACCAAAACAAATACACAGTAGTAAGTATAATGTAGTCATAACATTAAATGAAGTTAATCAACTGTCCTGCACATCATGAGTGAGAAATAGTCATTTTTTATTGCCGACATTTCAACCCAAGCTTATGGGTCATCAGGGAATCTTGACAGCACTGAAAGTGTTCAAGTACTTAACAGTAATAAGTACTTGAACACCTTAAATTGTTTACACTTGTTATATATTCTTATTTGATGTCTGGCCAATACACCATGCGAAATATTCGAAAGAGTTTTGTAAATAGGACATAAATAGCATTTTGGAATGTTTATTTTTGTCATATAAATATGTTTTTATTTTTTAAATAATGTTACTACTGATCATCATATACTAACTACTAGATATCAATTCTAATGATCTAACAATCGTTAATTGAAAAAATAGTTGGATTCATTTTTTGATCTAAGCACAATCCATAACGTTAAATCTATGAATCACGTAAATAAGTTTATTTTCGTTCTATACGCTATTGATCAGACAATAATAAAAAAGGTGATCGAAAACAAGCTAGATGAGTGTAATTATTCCAATCCAGCAAGCACCCTCTCTGTTGTAATTAACAAAAACAAAATAAAAACAAGCTCGCAAATTGTCCACCCCCACTCTTCTGCCCCCCCTCCCTCCCGAACGGGCAGACCAATCTACATACAAATTAGATTCGTAAGAGTGACATTTTTAAGAATTGCTATTTAAAGCAACTGGCCAACAATCGATGGCTCAAACAGTCTACGCAGAGTAGCTTTCGTTGAATAAGTAAAACTCTAATCATTACTAAACTATTCATCGGATAAGGATGAGAATATCAAGCAAAAATAATAATAAAAGAAATACAATACGAATTTATAAATTTATATTACAATAAAAAAATTCTTTATAACATAAAATAGGAATAAAATTAGATTAAATCAATCTGAAAATATAACATTTTTATAGGTACAATCATATCATGTCATGGTTTGTTTGGAGTTATAACTTGGATATTTACCAACGGCCAATTTGTGAAAGGGGGGGGGGGCTTAAATTATAGTGGAAAAGTAAAGGTGGAAATATGCTCTAATTACTGGCCAAGGTCTATAAGAAATATGATAAAGATTGAAAGATTAATAACACTTTTCGAAATAGTAATTTTTATTTAAAATTTTACAAAACTTGAGAGCGACCATTCAGAGGTTTTTTATCAAAGACGGAGGGAAATCTGTGTCATTTTCAGAAAAAGAATAAAAAGTTAATTTTTGTTTTATATGTTCAACTGTTTTTGATGATTTTATTTTTTGATATCTTATTTAAGAACATTCAAATAAATCCTGATAGAAAATTATTTAATTAAGATACGAGAAAATTGGTTTAAATTAAATTTCTTTTTAACCAATTATTATTAAGATAATAAATTACATATACACATAAAAAATAAAATAAAATAATTAAAACACAAGTTCTAAAAGGCAAGAAAAGAAGAGAATAGGGAAGATAATAAAAAATAGAAAAAGGAAAACTATAAAATTAACAGTAAAGCGCCATGGAAATGACAGTTTAATAGACCATGACCATCAAACTATAAAATGCCAGATACAGGACTGTCCTTTATAGATCAATAAAATGGCAGAGCCGAACAGTAAACAAAAATTAAATGGGCTAATGGGCGTAAACAGATCGTAACCGCTCCGCCCGGCTGTCAGTCACCCGAACAGAATGAGAATGTGGTGTTGCCGAGGGGGGCGGGAATTAAGGAGCAAACATGAGATTAAGTAACCAAAAAGGAGGGCTTCTTCTTTATGGGGTTTCAAACATCTTTACATGAAAGATGATTAAATTATCAACAAAGTACAAAAGAAATTTCTATTGGATATTGGACTTAGTGGTGTAAGTAAAATTTTATGAGAGGACACACCACATATTATTTTTTTTTTTGGGGGGGGGAAGAAGGAAGCTCGCCTTTTTTTTTCCTTTTCACATATATACTTAATTACTCGGAAAGAAAAAGAAAGAAACTAAATATATAATTGATATGGTGTTTAATTAATTCTTGAAGTCATATTAGAAATTTTATTACAGGAACAATAATACTTTTAAAGTCAAATTTATAATTTTTTTTTATAATACGTGGTTATATTAAACAATAGTATATGTATGATAATTTCAAGAGTAAAAACATATTCTTACTGAAAAAAAAACCTTTTTAAGGGAGGGAAGGTTTCAGCTCAAAATTCTTTACCCCTTCAGAAAACCCGTCTATGCTATTTAGGTTTTAACAATATATTAAACTCCAGTAAAATATTTAGAGATTAATACTTTTCAAACTAATTATTTAAAGTAAATGTAACTTTATATTAGGATGTTAAAATAATAGTGTTATAAGTCCTTTTGGTTTCTTAGAGGTAGTGAATGTTTTGAAAAGTAAATAATATGAACTCAAATCATTTAATTGTATCTTCAAAACACCATTGTTATTGGCAACCTCCACTCCATACTATGTACTTCTAAGCTCCAACGAACCTTAAAAAATGCTACTTAAATATACATTTTCAACTATTCAGATTATTGTCCTCATCCATAGGACCCATTTTCGCTCCTCTTTCTCACCAGAATGGGAATTATGAAATGTATTATGTAAATGTATAATTAATTTGTTTAAAATTCAAAGAAAGTGCCGCTAAAAGTGTGGCAGTGTATCGGATTAAAAATCACCCCGGATCGATACAACTTCATCCTTCAGGAACGATTGAGTCAGCGAGCCTATATAGAGACAGCAAACAACAAAATGGACCCTCAAGATAAATATCATCAAGGAGATATTAGGAGCATGTTAACACTAACCGAAATAGACCAACAAACATTTATATTTCGCCCCTGTCAGTCCGAGAACTGGAACAGGCGACCGAATAAATCCACAACGGCCGCAACTCTAATCTTAGAATGTGCGAGCTGAGTGGGTGGAGGAAGAAGTGTCCAATGGAGAACCTACGACATAGTAGAATCTTGAAGATATTTAAAGTTAGCTTATTATACCTCTGCACTTAGAGGCAGTAGCCCCAATGTGAACATAATCGATACTAACAGAAGCCGAATAGGAAGGAAGAAAAGATAAACAAAGAGTATACTATTGACGAAAACAAAGCAGACAATGGGCCATTAGCTATGGGCAAATGGACATATAAAAGGCTTTGCTGTGGTAATGGTGGGAGGTGTAACATATGCCAGTTTGATCGCTCATCGATTGTTATTTGTGTCGTGTATGGGTCTGTATATAACGCACTACCTTCACCTACTAACTGTCGTGTACTTTTAAGTACTCTGGTATATATATACACAAAAAATAACTATATCGAAATTTAGTTAAATAAATACATCTCGATAGTACAAATTATTTTTACATATTAATGTAAAGACTAATATACACTAATATGCCATAGAAACAGATTACTATTGACCAAGGAAACTCCAAACCAGATTTGACCTCCCCCCTATGGAGAAAAAATTGTAGTTTCAGGAGATCCCGAATTTTCTGTCAATCGCTTCACGGATATGAAAATCTAGTGGAAGTTGAAAAAAAAAAAATCAAACTAATATCGTTAATTTTTGATCGATCTACTTATATAATGAAATGAAGATTCGTCACGAAAAAAGAAAATATTTTAATTTTAAAAAATCTTCTTTTCTTTTTTCATCTTAATTTTTTTTTTTTTTTTTTTTTTTTTGCGATCGACAACTTCGAGTTTTGTCAACACATGTGCGACGACTGTTGGATCGTACGTTTTTTTCCAGTATGTAACCAGTCTAGTAAGTAACTAACTTAGTGTTTATGATCCTTTACATAACAGAATTAGTTAAAACAAAAATTAAACCTATAAAGTAAATAAATCACGACACAGCAAACCGAATTTTGTCATGTTTGTAAAACTACATATAAATACCAACAACTGAAGTATCTATTGAACGACCAGTAAAATCAAATAGTAATAATCTGAATTTTGTTGTTTAACGTTCTTGCGTACAGAAGACCGAAGTTGTTTAAAATTCAGAAAATGTTTTTCCCTCTACCCTGTAGGGTCATTGGCAACACCTTTAAATTACACTCTGTTGTTGAGTTTTATCACTTTTAAAAACCTTAATGATTTTTTAACTGCACTTTCACTGTCGGTTTTCTTTTAGACTCAAATATAGGGCAGTCTTGAATAATATGCTTTACTGTCCTTTGGACATTGTAGGTCTTGCAGGTCGGAGGATCCAGTCCTCTTAGTAGGTCAGTTAGTATGATTTAGTAGTTCCATATAATAAGGAACTATATATTTAAAATAAGTGCTTGGAAAAAAAAAAATTCGCTTTTGGAACTCGACTAAAATATTTTCCCTTTGTCACAATAATCTAGATAATGCAGTTATCTTTACGATGTACTTAATAGAATAGGCTTAGCTGTTAGGACTCATATGAATAAAATAATGCCTCTTTATATAAAAAAACAAAACATACATTTCCAACTAAAACATGACGAGTACAAGAGGAAAGGACTGAACAGTTGGCCCTGAGCACTCGAATTGTAGCAACACCAATTGCGGCGGCAACAGGACACGTCCTACTTGGGTTTATGGGCTCTTTTAGAAGCGGCTGCATGCCGTCACACACCTTCTACGACACGCCGCTAAACAAATCGTAAAATGTCCCTGCGCTGGAGATGAAGTCACCCAGGGCGAACTGGAAACCTGGAACTGGAGGGAGATCTATCTATACCATCATTAAGATGGAGGGAAAAACGCGAGCAGTAGATGTTCCGTCCATTGAGGTCGTTTTGCCAATAATTTAATTTTTTTTAAATAATCTTTACCTCAGGAAATGTATTAGATTTTTAAAACGAAGCAAACTGTTAATTATTTCCATATCAAATGAGTGTGATGAGTCTTCCCATGCACTCGACTTTCTTTCTCAATAAGGAAAAAAATCAGTGTCTAAAAATGACCAGATTTTTTTTTTTCATTTAGCTACGTAACCAATTATATTATGCTTTAAAGGAGTATCAGTAATCTTTCAATTTCGAGCTACTAAGAAGTGCAACAAGAGTTTATATTTCCAAGAGAAAATGTTAATATATAGCGAGAAAGAGGGAAAAGTTTACCCCCAAATGGCACTGTTTAAACACCAACTTAAATAACATATCAATTTCAATTTTTGATTCAATGATTTCAATTTATTTGGAACGGCTGTTTTGTCATGCAATTCCTAAAATTCCGATGACCTTTTTTTTTTCTCAATTTGAAAGTAGTACGGATGCTACTGAATATCAATAAATCCTATAATTTTTAAATTATACACAAACAAAGTTTTCTTTGTAACTATCACCACTTCGTTGTTCGTGTGATCTTTTTGATGATTTTAATTACTTAGTTACAACCAAGGCTTAAAATAGAAAACAGGTTTTTTTTTAAAAGTTTCGAAGAAATTTTTTCCTTCCAACTTTTCAAGATTTACAGAAATTGTATTTTAAAAGTTCTATAGATTTCCCTAAAATTTTTATCTAAAATATCATTTTCAATTATAGCTACTCAAACAAACCACACATTGGAATCATGTGTAATTAATTTAAGGCAAATTATAACTCTAATCTAAGTCCAGTTACTCTATATTTTTCATTTAACGGAACTTATTTTAAGCACTTGAATGGATAAAAGTTACTCTTTTACCATAAACCTAAAACTTTATTCCTAAAAAGTTACACAAAAACAGTTAAAATGAAACTTTAAAAAAAGTTGCATAAACGTTTTAAGCACTGGTTAAAACAAACTAATGATGCAACTGCTAAAATAGCCAAGAATTCGTATCAGTAACTTTCAGTTTATTTTTCTGCCCATTAATTCAAGATAACTAATGCTTTAACGTAGCAAGTCCATATTCGACTTTCACATTCTTCTAGGCCCCCGCTAGTTCTATAACCCACCCAGTCGGTAGATGCAGCGAACGATAAGCTCTGCACAGGCATTCAGAAATATCAACTGTCAGTCGCCAGTCCTCTCTCCCGTGACGTAGACGAGAAACTTGACAGAGCCTTGTAAAGTGTGAACGGAACGCATCAGCGGCCCATTATGGCCTGGCGGGAACGGCAGGCTAATTGCTTGATCAAAATTCTTTGGGATATTCCTACGACGCCGGTCGTTCCGATTAGCAGGGTGCTAAAGGACTGACTGCTCTAATGCTACTCCAGTCGGGAAGCTAAGCACCTTATCGCTAACGCTTGAGGAGTAGAATAGCCCATAACTCTTAGCATGCTAATCGATCCAAACCCATTGACGACTCGCCTTCGGAATAAATTTTCCATTTGGATTCATACGGAACCACCTTAGTGTTGTAAATTAAGATGGGGACCTTAATTATCATTTATATTACATCAAATCTATGCCTATAAGTTTAAGCTTCTTATGGATTCCGAGATATGTGGCAGTATTTATTGTATCAATCATCGGGGGATACTGGTAAAGGGACGGGCGGGGTACTAATGTTTTATAAATTTCTTTTTTCCAAGTGGAAAAAGATAAGCCAGGAGCCGACGGGGTATATCATTCAATCGTAAATTGGCCCTGCCGGCCCTGGTGCAGTTATTAAAGTAATAAACTTTTGCTCTGTTTGTAATCAAAAGCCGCAACAGTCTTTATTTACTTTTGTGCCGGTTGGCCTGAGTTGTATATCCCCCCCCCCTTCCACCAACCCCCCTCGTATATTTCTTCTCTATTGCCCTACTATTCTCTTTTCTTCCTTACAATGTACGTCCCTAATCCATTAGTACATTGTCTTGAAAATTAATTCTATAAAATGAAACATTGCATTAGTATTGCACTAAAACAATTTTTTTTTCTAAACAAGACAAAATCATTCAAACTCATAACAACAAAACTATCTTTAAAATGAACTGGATGAAAGATCTTTGATCGACTAGATCATTATAAATTCCAAAAAAAAGTATTTCTGAACATATTCTTCACATGCTAATACCTAACTAATAGTTTTACTCTCTCCTCCCCGAATGCAAATTAATATTGAATGAAAAAAAAATTAATTAAATTTCTCGTTCTTCATTAAAAAGTGCCTTACTATGTGGTTTTTATCGTATTTCTCCCCAAAATAATTTACTATTGCACTTCATATAATGTCATCGGAGGGCTTTGAGCATTTTATATTTTTGAATACGGTTATGTTAGTTTCCGGAAATGTCTGACATATATATATATATATATACATATGTTATATTTCGACACCTCCAGGATCAAATAAGCTAAAAATTCGGTATTAAGAGTTGTTTTCATGACAGGACAATGGTATGAACTTTTAATAATGAAACATTTTACTCGATAAAGAAACAAACAGTTACAAATAACTAAAATATAAAATTTTTGAGTATGTTTAACTCTAAAGATATACTTACAGGTCAACAGTATTTAGAAGAACTGAATAGGAACTTACCTGGAAAAGAAAGAAAGTAAAATTAATATTAAAGAAATAAAATTAAATACGTAAAATTCAATTATATATATATTATAAACAATACGGTGTTTAGATACACATATCAGTAAATATCGGCCTGAGTTATCGATGAAAAAAAAAAAAATTCCTGATCCTCAAAATATATTATATTAGTTATTTCCATATCACATTAGCAATTGGTCGCTGAACAATATACTCTGCAAATAATTCGAACTAATGACGGGCCGACGAGTGAACTGAAATGACGATTTAATTTGTCCCATAGACATTCCTTATTTAATGCCTACGAAAACAACTAGTTCCTAAATATGTCTTCCATACCATTCCCGATAATCCGGAGAGTATAAAAAATTTGTTTTAAGAACTGACGGATTGCTTAGCAATTATCGGGTTCACTGCACTGCTTATCTATTATTTTTTTCACAAGAAGTCGTACATGAATTAAAAAACTACTTGTATAAACAGAAATTAGTTTTTATATCAGAGCTGTTTAGTTGCTATATATTGTTTAATTTTATAAGTTTTGATATTGAGAAACGTGAGGACATAGTGACTTAACACACTTCTCCTTACGACTTCACTTTTCTTCTACATCAGTCACAAAATTAGCTGCCAGACTTTGAAGCTGAAAGTAATGAACATCCGCCGGGTAAGAGTGGTCAGTTTCTTCTTAGCGGGGACCATTTGTCTAGCCATCTTGAGAGCTCCCGATGTAATGTTCTCCAACTCCTTCAATTACTACAATTCCCGTCTACAACTACCTCCGTTTCTTATGCTACAACGGCTATCACTACTGACTGCAAGGTAGGGTAGTTCCATCGGGTGAGGAAAAAAAATATGAAAGAACTAGAAAGGAAAGGTAAAAAGCGAAAAAGAAAAACAAAAAAAAGGATACCCTTTGGTTAATATGGTAATAACAGATGGGGAAACGTCGGTACAGACGAAGAAAAAGAGGCTTTTAATTTTTTAATTATCGGTTCTGAAAGAGGCCTCGAAATAATGGTGAGGTTGAGGAGGAAGTGAGGCGAACGGCAGGTAGAGGAGAGCCATCTGGTGGAGCGGTGGAGTGGTTACCAGCTGCCCGCTCATTGCCGCTCTCTCAAATATAGGATAATATGTCTCCCTCCGCGAATTTATGACCTTCATCTCCGAAGCGAGTGGGCTCCGCTGAGAACCTAGAAACCGCGGGAATCTACATGAGCCCAAGGCTTGCGGTCCTAATGGTATTTCTCTTTAAAGGGAACCTTTCGCACGTTTTCATGTGTGTGTGTGTGTGTGTGTGTGTATGATGGGATCCTCCATCTTGGGATATATATGGATCAGTAATCATTGAGCTCCTGACAGCAAACTCACGGTCGTACGACAACGCATTGCTATGAACCGCCTTAATTGGGGACTAATTGATTCATTAATGTAGACTCTTTCAATCATTACGAGTTGTTTGCTTATTTTAATTTATCGAAACTCTATCTTAGTTTAATTTATTGCAAATCATACAGAAATTTAATACATAAACTGACTTACTTAAACACAATTGGACCTTCACAGATATACGGTAAAGCCAAACAGACCGACATACGAAAAGTACAGACTTTTCAATCAACAACTTTCAGGAATATAAACAAGACTCCTAGGCACGTCAGAAACATTGCTTTACATTAAGACAATATAGAAACACATTATAAAAGATTTCACAATTTACAGGGACATAGAACGTCAATGATTCAAGACATTGCCACAACCAACTTGCCCGATAACACGTAGGAGGCTCAAAAAAGCTGAATGAGTAACTAGAAATATTAAAATAAAGACAGGCACGAATGCAGCAGGACACTCTTTTCGCCCATGCCTACCAACGACTTACTCTAAGTTCTACTTCTTGGTACTTATAACAGGTGTAAGTGGAAGAATAAAGTTAATTTTTTTTTTAATATTACAATACAAAGTTTCAGCCGTTGTAGTGTGTCCTAGACTATATATATATATATATGTACTATTTTACTTACAAACCTTTGCAGCATGATCGGCATATAATTCCTCAATAACTCTCCTTTGAATGTTGAACCAGCCACATGCTAAACTGAGGGGCAGACTGACGCCAACACTCCAACGCCGTATTAAATACAATTAACTCCACTTGTTAC